AGGTTAATAACTTTAACTTTGTGAGGTGGAATAAAAAAAAGATGTTCCAAAGAAATCCAGATTCTCATTCTGGAAAAAAGAAATTCTCCTCTCTGCAGTTTTCAAATTGCAAATTGAGGTTAAAAATAGAAAAGTGATATTGGAACAACCTCAGAAATTCTATATAAATTGCATTGGATTGTGAATTCCTTAGCAAAGCCAAAGTACTATGTGATTGCAAAATAATAAGTTACTAATGTTTTGCCTCTTTCAGTTTCCACTGACAAATGAGAATGAGATTCTTGAAAACTTGCCTGCGTTATTTGTAGTCCCTTAAACGTGGTGTTAGCATCAGCTATATCCATCAACCCAGGGAAAGGGGAGGAATGCTCTGCTGCCATCATTCACAAAGCTGGGAAACCTGCTTCAGCATCTGTTTGCTCTGCCAGGTAATATAAATAATGTCCTAGATTATGTGTAATCAATCACCGGGTGCTCTGGATCGCTGCCTCAGCAATGAGGAACAAGAAGTGTGGCGGGTCAATGGCAAGTGCAGATCTCTGCAGCAGAGAATGCCTTGGCCGCCCCAAATGACACATATTAATTCAAGTTTTATTTTGGGAAGTCTGAATTGTGCATAAATGAATGCTGATTTCTTATCTCCTGAACTCCAGACTCATATCCAAATGTCTACTCCACAGATCTGCATGAATGTATAAAAAGCTCTCAAAAATCAACACGTTTAAAACTGAACTCTTTTCTACAAACCTGCTTCCTTCGAGTCTTCCTCATCTCAGTTACCATCAATTCCATCCCTTCTAGTATGTAAGCCTAAAAAGTCTAGTCATGGTAAAAGACCTGTACTCAGAAAACTACAGGATGTTGAAATAAGAGATAGAGGAAGACATAAACAAATGAAAGAATACACGTGTTCGTGGATTGGTAGAATCAACATCATCATAATGCCCATACTACACTAAGCACCCTCTAGATTCAATGCAGTCACCATTAAAATACCAACGGCATGTTTCACAGTCCTAAACAAACTCTTCAAAAATTCATCTGGAATAAAAAAAGACCCTGAATAGCTTCAGTAATCCTGAGAAAGAACAAAGTTGGAGGGATCACAATACTAGATATCAAGCTATATTACAAAGCCACTATTCTCAAAACTTCCTGGTACTGGCACAAGAATAGACATATAGACCAATGGAACAGAAGAGAGAACCCAGAAATCGATCTAAGCCATTATGCTCAATTAATATTTGACAAAGGAGACAAGAGCATACAATGTAGTCAAGACAGTCTCTTCAATAAATGGTGTTGGGAAAATTGGACAGGTACATTAAAAAAATGAAACTAGAACACCAACTTACACCATACATAAAAATAAACTCAAAATGGATAAAGGACTTAAACGTAAAACGGAAAATCATAACAATTTTAGAAGAATCTATAGGCAGCAAAATATCAGACATACGTTGTAGCAATATCTTTACCAATACAGCTCCTAGAACAATGAAACAAATGGAACTACATTAAAATAAAAAGCTTCTGCACAGCAAAAGAAACCATCAGCAAAACAAAAAAGCACACTGTATGGGAGAACATATTTGCCAATGTTATCTCCGATAAGGGTTTAATCCCTAAAATTTACAGGAGATTGTAACTCATACAACTTAAAAAAAGGAAGATAAACAATCCAATAAAAAAATAGGCAAAGGTCCTAAATAGGCACTTTTTTTGAAAGAGGACATATAAAAGGCCAAGAGACATATAAAAATATGCTCAAAGTCACTAATCACCCTAAAATCAAAATGACAATAAGGTACCATCTCACACCTGTCAGAATGGCTATCATCAACAAATAACAAGTACTGGTGAGCATGCGGAGAAAAAGGAACCCTCGTGCACTGCTGATGGGAATGCAGACTGGTACAGCCACTGTGGAGAACAGTATGGAGTTTCTGCATAAAACTAAAAATGGAACTCCCATTTGACCCAGTAATTCCACTTCTAGGAATATATTCCAAGAAACTAGAAACACCAATCTGAAAGGATATATGCATCCCTATGTTCATAGAAGCACAATTCACCATAGCTAAGATTTGGAAACAACCTAAGTGCCCATCAGCAGATGAGTGGATTAAAAAACAGCATGGGTGGACCTGGAGAGCATTATGCTAAGTGAAATAAGCCAGTCGGAGAAAGATAAATATCACATGATCTCATTCATTTGTGGAATATGAGGAACAACACAAACTGATGAACAAAAATAGAGCCAGAGACATAGAAGCATCAAACAGACTGTCCAACCTAAGAGGAAAGGCAAGGGGGCGGGGTAGAGTAAGAGATCAACCAAAGGACTTGTATGCATGCATATGAGCATAATCAATGGACACGGACATAGGGAGGTGAGGGCATGTGTTCAGGGATGGGCGCAGCCAAGGAGAGATCAATGGGGGGAAAGGAGACTTACATAATGCCTTAATAAAGAATTTAAATTTTTTTTAAAAAAGTTTAGTCATCATAGATTAGCTTGAAAAACTTAGAGTCATCATATACTTTTCTCCTTTTTTAAATTCTTGCACCTAATGTCAGCAAATTCTGTTTAATCTAGCTTCAAAATATAACAGATACTAAGCATGTCTCACCGCCTCCATTGCTACCAATGCCATCATCATCCAGCACCTGAACTATTGCAACAGCCTCCACACTAGTCCTCCATTGCTTTTTCAGTCCATTCTCATTCCAGCTTCCAGAGGGATTATCACAACGGTTCTGATTTGTTATGATTCTGGCAGCATTGGTCGAATTCTCCTATGGATACAAATTCTGGTTAAACCCTTTTCCATAACCCATCCTTCACTGGGCATTTCCTCTTCTTAATCCTTTAGGCCTACAGATTTCTGGCTACTGCTCATTACCAAATGCTCCACCATCCTTTGTGAGCTCCATTAATCCTCCTTTTAAACAGTTCTTCATCTTTAGTTGAAATCATTTTATGTGTTTCATCTCCTTCTTACCAGAACCCTTAGAAACGTAGCCATTACTTATATTAATTGTTTGGGTGTTTTTTTTTTACATGAAACCAACCTCGCATTTCTGAGATCCACTCAATTTGGTGAAAATGCATATTGTTATAGGTTGTTAGATTCAGTTTGCTAAATTCTTTGCAGGCCTTTGTATTTATGTCCATGAGAGAATGACCTGTTATTTTCCTTCCTCATTCTGTCCCTTTCAGATTTTTATATCAAGATGATGCCACCCTCATGCCAAGATTTCAGAGTCTTCCTTCAGTTTCTACACTCAGAAAAAATTTAGGTAAGATTTAAAGTACATGTTCCTTAAATTTTATTATGTTTTGTAAAATCATCTGGCTTATTATTTCTTCTTTTATTTTTATTATTTCTTGTTGAACCACTTTTGCAAGCGAAATTTCTCCAAAATGTATCCATTTTGTTAGTTTCAAACTTACTAGGAAAAGTTGTAATATCCCTTTTAAACATCCTCATTTATACATGGTTCTGTCTCTTTTACATCACAATATTGTTTATTTATGAATTCTCTAAGTTTATTTTTTTAATTAGGCTTACTAGATTGTCTCTTTTAGTATTTTCATAGAAGCAACATTTGACTTATTCTTCATATTATATATTTATTTCCTATATTTCTATTACCTTTTTTTATTTTAAACCTTCTATTTTCTTTGTTTATTCACTTGTTCTTTTTACACATGAAATTGGATGCTTAGATTATTACTTTTTAACTTTTTTTCTCCAATATAAGGCCCAGTCCTTTTTAAGCCTCTTATAATAGTTACGACTTTCTACACAGTCCAAAAATAAGAGGAACAGAACACATGCTTTTTAAGGCTTCAGGTAGGGATCCCAACAAGATGCCTGTGTAAAGGCTATAAATGACATTTTAGGATTGGATGTAAGTAAAGAAATATATTTAAAACTGCTGTTCACTATTTCACTCTGCATCGGGGATGTAAACTCTAGGAGAGCAGTTTCTCACTGATATACCCTCAGTGCCAGAACAGTACCTGAAGCATGGGAGGCATTAATACATTTTTTTTTTTTTAGTCTATTAAATGAATCTGACTGGTAAATATGTAAGTTTACTTTTATCAATCTTAGTGAGTTAAATTTGTTTAGATAGCACTATTAGAACATTTCACACAAGAAATGTTAACCATGATACCTAAAAACTTTTCAAACCAGTCAATTATTCTCATTCAGAATATACTTTTCCTTCATTTTAGCTCAGCGTTTCCATTTCCTTCTCTATATCATGTTAAATTTTAAGTGTTCATGGTAATACCACATGGTGGCACACAAAACCTCATAAAAACATTTCTGAATTTTTTTCAGAAATTTCAAAATTTTACTATATCGAAAACCGCTTTAAATCCAGGCAAGAGAGACCCAACTCTGGACCCTTTGCTTGAGGGCTAGGTTCTGCCTGCTGGAGCCTCTCGTTCCCGGCAGGGTGAGGCCACAGGGCCTCGAGACACGGCCCTTCTCCCCTGGACAGCTTTTCTGGTCAGTTCCAGGAGGTGGAGAGACAGCTGGAGAGCACATTCCTGGGCTGGGCTGGTTAATCCTGAGACTAACAAGGTAAAATTGTCAATATTCTTCCTGTAAGAACCAATTAAATAACTAAATATTTTTCTACAATACTGTTTCTAAAAAATTTTTCTTGGCTAATCCTCACTCAAGAATATTTTCCCATTGATTTTTAGAAAGAGTGGAAAGGAGAAAGAGAGACACAGAGAGAAGCATGTATTTGAGAGAGACACATAGACTGGTTGCCTCCGCACACACCTTGACCAGAGCTGGGGATCAGAGCCGAGAATCGAGCCTGCAACAGAGGTACATATCCTTGAACGGAATTAAATCGACCCTTCAATCCACAAGCCAATACTCTTTTCACTGAGCCATGCTGGCTAGGGCCCTACAATATTGTTTTTAGACGTCCCAGTGACAAAGAGAGAAATTTCACTTCATTCATTGTTATGATTGAATAAATATTTATTAATCCCATTCAAGGTAATTCAAATTTATTTTTTAAAGAAATATTTTTTAAAAAATTAAAAGTGGAAACATGGTACCATATCAACAGATCTGAAAGTTTTGAGCTGAAATTTACTTCACTTCCTAAGAAACAAGCATTGCCTGATTGTTGTTTTAGAAAAAGTGAATTTTAAATATTATTTGCTTTCTTTGCCCTTATATATATATGCACTAACATCCAAAAGGTACAGCTTTAGATCAATAAATAGTTATAAAATAAATGTTCAGAATTTAGTTATTAAGAGTGTGTCCAGACACTTCTATACAAGCTTTTCAATGGAAAAAATATCAAGTTTCAAGGAGTTATATATTCTCAACAAGCACTATAAATAAATTTTGGCATTTACTAACTTAAGTACTCAAGGACTTGGCTTGAGGAGTCCAACAAACTGAATGTCTGCTTTTCAAGATTACTATTATCTTCTATTAGCGGAGAGATTTTAGTATTTCTATATTCTAATAGTTCACCATCCTTGCTTGATGTCAACAGTTCATTATCGGCTACACCAATAGTTGCGTCTTCTACCAGAATACTGGCTTGGTATGCTCCAACTGTAATTTCAGGCAGTCCAATGTAGTCATGATCTGCCACTACTGAACTTTGTAAGAGATAAAGACTGTCTGAAAGAAGAAACATAAGTTTGCCTTTTAGAATTATAATTAAACATCACTTCAAATTAAACAATGCTAAATGAAGAACAAAATCCCTAGTAGTAAGAATTAACTAGCAAGATTAACTTTCATTGGATTCTCCTACCCACTAAACATTTGAGAATGAATAAAATAATATATGAATTTGAAAGTTTATATATTTTGAAATAGTTACCACTTTGATATGCTAGAAATGCATTTATAGATCTTGAGGTTAAGTACTTATTAGTTATATTAGAATTAGTAACAAACGGACTTTACCAAACTTATTTGTCAGAATAAGTTTGTGATACATATGTGATACATACTCTATATATGTGATACACACACACACACACACACTTACTTTTTCTTTTAAACTAGAAGCCCAGTGCATGGATTCATGCACCAATGGGGCCCTTGCCTGGCCTGTACCCTCTTGCAATCTGGGACCCCTTGGGAATGTAAGATTGCCAGTTTTAGCCCAGTCCCCGCTGGCCAGGCTAAGGGACCCCACCGGTGTACAAAGCCATGCACCAGGCCTCTAGTATGCATTAAAGGATCTTTGGTTAATCTCTTCCTGCCTTCCCCCTTTCCTCTGAGATTCATCAGTCTGTTCAATATTTCCATGCTTGTGCATTGAGTGTCTGCCCCCTGGTGTGCATCATAGCTACTGGTCGAACAGTCACTTAGATATATATCTATATCTATATCTATATCTATATCTATATCTATATCTATATCTTTATATCTATATATAGATATAGATATTTATGTATATCTTATTGTAATAAGGATTATACTCAGCAAATTCTACACAAATGTAATAGAAAACTACTCTGGAGATTTCAAGCCTTGTTTATGTAGGGAAAAAAACAATATTCTCATTCATTCAGAAAGGCCAAATATGTTTAACTCCTACGATAGTCTGTCTACTGGAGCCAATAGAAATACTCTTTAACTTAAAAAAAAGGTTACAAAAAATTACCAGAACAGTGACTCTTGAGACCTTAAGTACATATTGAAATAATATTTTTGATACACTAGGTTATATAAAATATATTATTAAAATTATTTTCATCTATTTGTACTTTTTATTTTTATTTTTTTAAAATATATTTTATTGACTTTTTACAGAGAGGAAGGGAGAGAGACAGAGAACTAGAAATGTCAATGAGAGAGAAACATCGACCAGCTGCCTCTTGCACACTCCCTACCGGGGATGTGCACGCAACCAATGTACATGCCCTTAACCGGAATCGAACTTGGGACCTTTCAGTCCGCAGACTGACGCTCTACCACTGAGCCAAACTGGACTTGGCTATTTGTACTTTTTAAATGTGAATACTAGAAAGTTTAAAGTTACATATTGCATATTTTTTGCATTGTATATCTATTGGATGGGACTGATCTAGAATTCTGAGTTAGGGATATAAAAAAGAACAAGATAAGTTCTGTCTTCACTAAAGAGAGATAAACATTTAGAAAAATATTTTTATTGATTTCAGAGAGGAAGGGAGGGGAAGAGATAGAAACATCAATGATGAGAGAGAATCATTGATTGGCTGTGCATTGCCATTGGTGATTGAGCCCTCAACCCGGGCCTTTACCTCCTGATTCACTGGTCAGTGCTCAACCACCGGGTGGGCTAAACAAACATTTTTAAAGGACTTTTCTACTCAGTCCCATTACAGAAGAGACTAAGTATTTTTCTTTTCTTACTATATTGACTTAGTTATTTCTGATGAAAGCAATATTTCAGTTTATGCAGTTTTAAGGAGTAAAACATAAGTTTAAGCAGCAAATTATTTTTAGGCTTTTAAAGTTTATTTGTGTTCATATTACCCTTTCTAAAGAATTTATTTATTTACTTATTTACTTATGTGTTTTAATTCATTTTTCAGTTATAGTTGACATACAATATTATATTAGTTTCAGGTGTACATTCCAGTGGTTAGATATTATTTAACTTATTAACTAATCACCCCAATAAACCTTGTACCCATCTGACACCATACACAGTTATTTATGAAATATTATTGACTATTCCCTTTGCTGTAGTTTACACCCCCATGGCTATTCTGTATTAAATTAAATATTCCTAAGGAGAAAAATAAATTAAAGTCAAAGCCTCAGAGAAGTCTGAGTGATTTGGATTAATTTATTTGTTCAAATAGAAAGAAAAGTATAGGGTATAGGGTTTAAAAATACTTAATTTTCTTATTCAGAAGAGAGGTGGCTTGACTATTCCTATACACTGAGAGGCCAGATTATTATGATCTCTGAACGCATAATTATCTGGCCACTCAAAATATCTATATTTATATCTATATCTATATCTATATCTATATCTACATCTATATCCATATCTATATCTGAGGCCTGGTGCATTAATTCATGCATGGATGGGGTCCAGCCAGCCTGGCCAGGGAGGGCACATGGGTAGTTGGACAGCCTGCCTGCTGCTGAATTCCTGGTCGAGGGGAAAATTTGCATATTAGCCTTTTATTATATAAGGTATACACTGAGTGGCCAGATTATTATGCATTCAGAGATCATAATAACCTGGCCACTCAGTGTATATGGCCTGATAGTCCTAAAACCATTAGAATGTGTTGCCATACTCATCTTCTCATGATAAAATAACAATAACTATAATTTGATATTGTTATAATACAAAAGTTTTTGTTGTAATAAATAACCAATACTAACAACAGAAAACTGAATGACTGAGTTCAGATTATATAAGTAAAAGGCCAAAGGGAGGCTCTTTGCATAAACTATATTAAATAAAGTCGAGATCATGGGTTTGATAATATAGAGACTGGGCTCTGTTTTGTTTCATGGATATAGTCCATATTGTGGGGGGCAGAAGAATGGGCCACTAAAGATCTCCATGTACTAATTTCTGGAATGTGTGAATATGTTACCTTGATGGCAAAGATGAACTAGGATAGTGATGAAATTAAAGTTACTAACAAGCTTATGGGGAGTTTATCCTGGATTATCTGGTTGGGCCCAAAAACTATGGTTCTTAAATGTGGAAGATAGAAGTCTGGAGTTATTTAATGTGAAAAGGACCACCTGCCATTGCTGGCTTTGAAGACAGAGGAAGAGGGCCACAAGCCAAGCATTATAAGTAGCCTCTAGAAGGTGAAAAAGACAAGGAAACAGATTCTTGTCTAGAGCCTACAGAAGGGAACAAAGCCCTGACAATGACTTGATTTTACTAGTAACCCAGTGCGACCTATATTGGACCTTCTAAGCTATTGACTGAAAGATAATAAACTGGTATTGTTTTAAGCCACTGAAATTGTGATAATTTGTTCAGCAGCAATAGGAAACAACATATAATAAAAACCATTTTACAAATTGTGAAGGGTCATCACACTATCTTTTGAGGGAGACAAACACAATCTTTCACAATAACTCCTATCCAAAACAAAACAAACAAATGAAACTATTTCAAATCTATGATGGATAAAACAATGGTTCAATAACATTTTTCATCTCAAAGGGGAACATTATGATTACAAAGAGACACGATGATATATCATTAAATTTCTTGTTAAAATAATTAATCTTGAAAAGACGCCTGTCATTGGACTAGAGAGACAAAATGACAAATAGGACTTGCTAAAATAATGAGAAACATTGTAGACGTAGTACAGAATGCACTCTACACCATGTTCTGGATAAGAATGGATAAGAGATTGGTATCAGAAGCATATCTGCTTTGGACAGCGAGCCTTTAATACAACTACAAAATCTCAAGGCTAGTAAAAGTAGCAATGACACAAGTATAGACAAATTCATAGTTCTTTTGGCTATAGCTCATCCAAATTTATGTCAAATAAAAGAATGGGGTGCTTATTCAAAGGCATTTTGTTTGCTTTACATTTAGTTCAAGACTCTTTAAAATCAGCTTCTGAAGTGAAGATTTTCAGAAAAATATGGGATATTGAAGAAAAGACTGCAGATATCACATTATAGTCAAACCTCATTTCTGGAGCATCTCCCACTTCCAACAATTCGGTTCTTGATCAATGGTTCACTGAGAAAAAAATGTCTGTTATCAACCAAAACTTCAGTTTCAGATCTGACAACCCTTTCATCCTGATACCAGCATGTCAAAAAGCATCTCTCAGGCAACAAAGGACAGAATGCTTTAGTTGCTGTGGAAATCAAATGATTAGCACAATTTTAAAACATAAAGAGACCATCAAGAGTGCTAATAGTATTTCCTAGCCAGTTTGGGTCAGTGGATAGAGCATTGGTGAGAGGACTGAAGGGTCCTGGTTCCATTCAGGTCAAAGGGACATACCTCCAGTTGCAGGCTCTCCTGGTTGGGTGTGGGAGGCAACCAGTCAATGTGTTCTCACTTTGATGTTTTTCTCTCCCTCCATCTCTAGTCCCTTCCTTCCACTCTGTCTAAAAATCAGTGGAAAAATATCCCCTGGTAAGGATAAACAAACAAACAAAAAAAGGATGCTAATGTTGCTAAAGGTGTGAAAGTACACTTAAAACAATCACAGGCAAATGAACAGGTAGAAAACCTCTTGCTGACTGGATAAACAAAAGGCAGTTAGCCAGTGATTGCATTTCAGAGGCAGTGATAAATTGAAAAATTCATTTAAGGCCCCAGCTAGGGTGGGCCCTTGGACCAAAGGTTCCAATCAATGTGTATGTGTCTGTCTCTTCCCCTGCCCCCCTCCCTTCCACTGGGTCTAAAAATCAATGGAAAAAATATATACTTTGTTGAAGACTTTTTTTAAATAAAAAAATTAAGGCTATTAGGGGATGGTTTAATGAATTTAGGAAGTGTTTATTTATAGATTAAATAGTACATTAGACAGGCACTGTATGTAAGAAGGGTTAAAACGGAATCATTTGGGGATCTGGAATGGATTAATTCAATTTACATTTTTTCTAATGGAATAAAAAGATTCATTTTTCAAATAAACCGCTACTCGAACAGCCTTCTGGAATGAATTAAGTTTGAGAACTGAAGTTCCACTGTATTTTGAATTGCTGCAAGTAAGAGAAACATAAAAAGGACCAAACAGTAATCATGAACCAGATTCCAAGATGGCGAGATCAACACTTTCTTGGTTAACAAGAAAAACAAGTTTACCCACCAATCTCAGGTTTCTAATGTGTACACTAGTTCTAAAATTGCAAAGTCCTTTATATACTGGAAAAAAATATTTACAGAGAATTCAAGCAAGCAGCAAGGAGTATATAGCCTCTTTTTAGAAACCGTTATACATAATTGGATTCTGAAATATACAGAGAAACAAAATGTTTGTCTTGTTTCTTTGGCAAGAGCAAATTGCAAAATGTTGGAACAGATCCTGCAACAGGAATACTTTAAATATAAATTTTGTATTAATGAGGTTAACACATTAGAAAGAAGCTGAATGTCAAAGATTAAGAAGAAAATCATGCTAAAGAAAAAAGCACATGTACCCGCATAAACTTTTTCTACAGAAGGGAGAAATCATAAAGGAGAGCTCAGAATTAAGAAACACAAGAAATAAAGTGCTCATCTTCTAACAAAGAAATTGAAGGTACCATGAGCTTTCAGAATTCAAATAGTTAAAGATAAGATTACTAATAGAGCAACTGGGTCTGTCACAAGCAGATGGAAAGGCACTAAGAGCTTCTAATGAGAGCTGTGACCCAAATCAGAACGACAATTGAACTATTACTGAGTAAACAGACTGCAAGGGCTTCATCTATCTATACTAATAAAAGGGTAATATGCGAATTAGACCGGGTCGACTAGCCATCTTCCGACATCCACCTTTCTCCTGGACAAAGCCATGGTGGTGGAGGCCGAGGCAGAGAGGGCAGTTGGAGGCTAGATCAGGCTGGCAGGAGAGGGCCATTGTGGGCGAGATCAGGCCGGCAGGGGAGGGCAATTGGGGTCAAGATCAGGCCGGCAGGGGAGGGCAGTAAGGGGTGATCAGGCAGGCAGGTAGAGGCAGTTAGGAGCGACCAGGCAGGCAAGTGAGCAGTTAGCAGTAGGAGCCAGTGGTACCAGATTGCGAGAGGGAGGTCAGGATATTCAACTAAACTGGCAGTCAGACATCCCCCAAGAGGTACCCATCTGGAGAGGGTGCAGGCTGGGCTAAGGGAACCCCTCCCCTCCCCCATGCACAAATTTCGTGCACCAGGCCACTATATATATAAAAGCCAAGAGACTGGAATGCTGGAACGACTATAACAACCGGTCACTATGATGCCCACTGCAGCCAGCCAACCGGCCTGATTGAGGGGGAGCCCCCGACCTGCCCCCTACCCCAATCAGGGGCGGGGAGGCCGGCCAACCTTCTGCAGCCCTTCCTCCCAGCCAACTGTGGCCCCTTCCCCCAGCCATCCCTACCTCCAGTCACTTCCCCCCCAATTGGGAGAGTTGGCCAGCAGGACCCAACCCATGCATGAATTTGTGCACTGGGCCTCTAGTGTTCTATTAAGTGTAGGTTATCTGTGCTCTTCTAATTATTATTAAAACTGAAAAGAACTCAGCTGTTTATCCTGTTTAAAACTATACTAAATTATATCTTCCATAAATTGTTATTCATATTCAAATAATATTGATGCTTTATTTTTCTTTATGGAAAAGGCAAAATTAAATGGCTAAGGTACCAAAGAACTCCTTCTCAGTTATCCACCACAGAGAAACTCTAGGGAGCAGATACACTAGGACAAAACAAAAGTCTCACAAAAGTGGGATTTAATCTGAAACCCATAGCAAAATGTCATTTAGCTCTAGTCTATGAAAGAAAGGGTTAAAGAAATCAGGATATCTTGTCTGCTCAGTACCATTTTGGGGGGAAAGTATAACTTTGTTTAGGGTGTTATGACCTCTTCTTATAGCACTTATAACATTCTGAGAACACCCCATTCTGCCCCCTCCCCAATACCCATCTATGATGCAATGTTAAAAACTAATCACATTTAAGTCCTCTAATAAATTTATCTCACAACAGGATCTGGGACAGTATGTTTGTTTTTGGCATTATCTTAGTTGCTGATTTTTCATGCTAAAATGAGACACAAAGTTGCTCATAAAATACTGAACATGAAAGCAGAGAACACATAATTCATCTGTGAATTGGCTCAGTATCGCTCACATGAACTATGGGAAAGTGTGAGAAACACACTAGTAATCAAAATAAAATCTCTTTTAAGCCTGATGTTTCCAGAACTGATAATTCTAATAAAAGAGACTACCTGGGATCTAAAACTATACCATGTTTTATAAAATGAAAACGCGTGGGGTTTTATTTTTAACTTCTCTCCTCATTCAAAGAAAGTAAAAATATAGACAAGTGACAGATATTTACCTTGTTCACTGGATTCTCTTACATAGGGCTTAAGGTGAGACATTTTGATAGGTCTCTTAAGCCTAGTCCCAGTGTTGTCTCTCAGAACAGCACATCCACTTTCTGTAATATAGTCTATGACACAAGGACCAACCCATTCCGACTGGAAACGACCATCCTTCCACCAGTTTTTCCTTTGCCTTAAAACTTCATGACCCACTTTTAGATGAAATGGATTTAACTGCTTTGGTTTCTTTTTAACAATGATTTTGTCTTTATGTGTTTCATCAACAGTGTTATTCTCCATCTACAAGTATGGGGCAGGGAAAAAGAGAAAGAAAGAACAAAGGGGATGAAGAGCTATAGCTTCTTGAAGGTAAATGCAGATAATAAAAAAATGATTATTTATTAAGAAACCACTTTAAAGTTAGGTATGAATCCCACTTAATCCTTAAAATAATATTTGAAAGTCAGCATTACCCCAACTTTACAAACAAAATAAACTGTAGTAGATTAAGTAATTTGCCCATCAAACAACTGGAAAGCAATAAGATGAGGGATTTGAATTCTGCTCTACTTGAGTCCAAAATGCACGGTTTTTCTATAAATTCTTTCAGAATTTCATTGCTAGTTTTAATCAAAACAAGCAGAATTTGGTGGGAAAAGAATTTGGTTTAAGGATGTATCAGGTGTGTGTGTGTGTGTGTGTGTGTGTGTGTGTGTGTGTGTATGCTACAAAATTTAAAATATCACTTTTTAGATTTTTCTGTTATAGAGTTTTCCATTAAATAGAATCACCTGGCTCACTGAAGTTGTCTTGTTCTCCATTATTTTATCAGCTTCTTTAATTGCACTTAGAATTTTGGCAAACATACTTGTATCATCACCATCCACTTCATGGAGAACATCTGAAGTCTCAGGCATATAAGGATTTCGATTAAACATTTGAAAGTATGGCATATTTTTAGTAGGCTCCTGTTTTAAGTAAAATAAACAACAATTTACAATAAAACACTTATTTGGCAAGAAATACTTCTAATTTAAAAGTATAGAATTACAAAAAGGGACATACCAAGTGAGTTACATTGAAGGCAAATGAAACAGCTGATAGGTGATCATCCCAGTTGTGTGGGTAGTCAGCACAGTGTTTGGAAAGAAATGTTTTGATGGTTTTGGGTATACCTTCAGTCTGGTTAACAGCTTGAGAGGCATGAGAAATTACAATTTGCTTCATTCCAAACATTCCATACAGTTCAACATTGATCTGAAAATATATAAAACAAAGCTGACTTTAAATTTTTATTTTATTTTCCCTTGATTAAAAGGTTTCAAAAAAAAATTGAAACTTGCCTTTTGCACTGACCATGGCCATTTTATATAAAAACATGTTTTTTATTTAAAATAGTAATTATCACTTATTGAGTCCTATGTGCTGGTCAACAGACTAGATGCTTTATATTGTTGTCATTATACATGACAATCATATAAGGTAATATTAACCCATTTTTAAAGGTAAGAAGTGGAGCTTTGGTAAGTTTACTGCCTTGGTAGAGACACACATACATCAAGACAGTGGAAGAACAGAATTTAACATCAACTCTGAGTACAAATAACATTTTAATTCAGTAGACAGTTTCTAAAAAACACTAGTCACATAATCCAATTATCAGCTACATGACCCTGGCCAACTCACCAAACCTCTGTGTACTGTTTCCTCATCTATAAAATCAGGAAAATCCCGCCCAGGATTCTTTTGAGGATTAAATGAGTAAATGTAAAGACGTAAAACAGTTCTTGGCAATTTATAACTCATGATTATTGCTGTTGTAATGTACATGACCTAAAATGAGTTGAGAGCCCTGGCCAGTGTGTCTGAGTTGGTTGGGCGTCATCCTGTGCACCTAAAGGTTGCCTGTTTGGTTCTCAGACATGGCACATGCTTGGGGTTGCAGGCTCCATCCCCAGTAGGGGGAGTGCAGGAGGCACTTGATTGATGCTTCACTCTAACATCAATATTTCTCTCTCCCTCTCCCTTCCTCTCTCTGTAAAATGAAAATCAATAAAAGAATATTTTTTTAAAAGTTACAAGTGCAATTGTTGGGCTTTTAATAATTGTTGGGTGAACTAAGCTGGTACTAGTTTTTTGGGGGGGTTTTTTGTTTGCCCATTACCTTTCCCCTCTAACTAAAATGTAGACTTTGTGGCATGGGCTCTGGCAGCAATACTGGAAGCACAGGCTTGACAGTCACCTCTTAAAGATGGAACAGTAAGCTAGAAGCATCAGTTCCCAATGACACTCAGAGTTACCCTTCCTGGGCCTTCTTTTACCTAAATTTATATACTGGGAGGAGAAGTATTCTATGTTACTTGCAGCTGAATAAAATTTCTAGCTAATATACTATGTATTAGTAAGCTAGCTCCTCTTAATTAAGAAATAATTAAAAAGGAATCCCAGCCGAGACCGGTTTGGCTCAGTGGATAGAGCGTCGGCCTGCGGACTGAAAGGTCCCAGGTTCGATTCCGGTCAAGGGCATGTACCTTGGTTGCGGGCACATCCCCAGTAGGGGGTGTGCAAGAGGCAGCTGGTCGATGTTTCTCTCTCATCGACGTTTCTAACTCTCTATCCCTCTCAATTCCTCTCTGTGTAAAATCAATAAAATATATATTAAAAAAAAAAAAAAGGAATCCCAGAGAATAGGTATATTTGGGTAAGCTTCAATCTGAGGTCATATCAGTGGTTTTAAGTGGCACCTTTGGAGTGGCTTCAACTTCTTTCTTTCAGGAAATTGCCTAGGAATAATCCAGTGAATCCACTTGTGAGATGCTATCTTGATATCCTTACCACAATAGCCTTTCCCATTAAACCAGACATCCCACTAGTGTTACAATTTTTGTTTTCCATAAAACATATTTCTAAAATTAAAGAAGCAATTTTACATTTGAAAATGTTTATTCTCTCTTCTTCAGAGGCTTACAAAAATCTATATTTTATTCAAACAATTAGCAAATATTCTAAGCCAAGTTACAGTAGAAATGTATATTTTCATCCAACTATATGATAAATCTCCCACTTTGTGTACACTGTTCTAATCTTATTACAATACTTTACCAGTGTTTTCTGTATTTGTTGACAAAATAAAACATTTGGAAGTCATTATGCTTTCTTTGTAATATTTAAGCCCTTTAAATCACAGCAAAAAGGACACATTTTCCCAATCATGTGTAATTTTTAAATTTTTGTATTATTAAACCTCTTAAAAGAGACTTATAAATATTTGTTGTTGCTTTTGGTAAAATTTTCAAAGTGCTGGATTATTATTATTTTAAACATGACTGGAAAAACTGCTGGTGATTCATATTGGCTTTATGCTGTCATTATTTCATTTCTTGAAGCACTATATGCACTTAAGGTGAAGCTCCTCATTAATAAAGGTAAAAGCAAATATTGCCAAATAGTGTTCTTTATAATTTTGAATTTTGGTGGCCAATTTCCTATCAGATTGGATTAGTTCATATTTATTTTCATTTCATTAATGTGTCTATGAAAGATCTAATATCACAAGTTAATTAGAAGAGTCAGCTCTATCATTTTCTTGTGGTTGATAGGGACTGCATTATTGATATTATCATGTTTTATTACAAGAAACTTATGCCACCTGACTACTCTGTGAGGATTCGCTTTGCTGAAAATTACACGATAGCCATAAATTCAATTATTGCTGAAAGCAAGAGACAGGGAACCACTGAAGATTTCTATATATTGAGGATTCTCACTTTTCTCCTTTTTCAAAAAAATATCCTGTATTGACATTTTACAGAGAGGAAGGGAGAGGGATAGAAAGTTAGAAATATCTATCAGCTGCCTCTTGCACACTCTCTACTGGGGATGTGCCCGCTACCAAGGTACATGCCCTTGACCAGAATCGAACCTGGGACCCTTCAGTCCACAGACCAACACTCTATCCACTGAGCCAAACCAGTCAGGACTCTCACTTTTCTCTTATGATACCTTCACACAGTAGGTGTGACACAATCATTTGCCTTATTGACTTAGGATGATATTATCAATCTGTCCACATTATCAGTAAAGCTGTATCTCTTTCTTATTAGATAAAAAAGAAATATAAACAGAAGATCTAATATTGTCATCAAACAAAACAGGGCCTTACATCCCTATTTTGCATATTCCTGCTGTGTCAGTCAAGTTAGATAAGATTACGTGGCAGTTACAAAACACATTCAAGTTTCCGTGGCTTAATTCAATAGTTTTACCGTTTGCTCATTCAAAGTCAGTTGTAGGTCAGAATGTCTTTCCAAACCAACTATCTCCACCAGGTGCATCAGCAATTCTGGATGAGAGAAATCCCATCACTCTCTAGTATAGTATTTGGAATATTCTGTCAATTCTCCAGAGAAAAGAGTAAGATTGGGAGATTGAAGAACTGGGCTTGAGTTTTTCACTACCTCGGGCTGTAAAAGTGGCACACATCCATCCATCCACTCAATTTCTTTGGCTAGATCTAGTTACTTAGGCTTCTCTACCTGCAAGATACTAGAAGGAGCCATCTATATCTGAAGAGTATGAGAACCAATTATTGCTGAGCACTAGTAATTGATATGACAAAAGCAACAGATAATTATGCATATTTTAATCACTAAAATTATAAAAGCAATTTGATAATACATATAAACTGAAAAACTAAGAAAAAATCTATAATCTTATTCCTTTTAAAAATAATTCCATGGTTAACCTTATGGGTTTTTATTTTAGTGTTTTAATACCTATTTTTTACATAATTATCTATGTCAATAAATGAATATGCAATATATATGTAGTAAAATCCTTTACTCAGATTTTTGTTTGTTTGTTTAATCCTCATCTGAGAATATGTTTACTGATTTTAGAGCTTAGACCTCAGCTGTCTTACCTGATGAATGAACTCATCTCTTTGGTCCATTATTATTTTCTGAGGCGGTCCATATAAGAAAAATATATTGATAATAGCTTTAGAAACTTCTGATGCTGAAACATCACACAGAGGCAAAATCACAACCCATTTTGTGAACAAATCTGTCATGATTATAGTATATACATGACGTCTGTTGCTTATATGAAATGGACCCATTAGATCAACAGTAACTATACTCCATGGATTTTCCACTTTGAGGTGCTGCTTAGGTGCTAGAATAACTGTATTTTTTGCCACTTGACAATGATGACAAGCATATACCTGCAAAACAGGCACACAGTGAAGAAAAGATGTAAACTTTAATATATTCAACATAATAAAAGCAGTCTTACAAAGCTAAAACTTTAATAACTGAAAGGTACTTTGTGTATTGAAGAAGAAATTTCTGGATTATTCTAGAACAGAACAAAACCTTCCATTCAGGGTCGCCTAAGACCATCGGAAAACACAGATATTTACATTACGATTCATTAACAGTAACAAAATTACAGTTATGAAGTAGCAACAAAAACAATTTTATGGTTGGGGGTCACCACAACATGAGGAACTGTATAAAGGGTCGCAGCATTAGAAAGGTTGAGAATCATTGTCCTAGGGGATTATAAAGTTACAAAACTCAGACTAATTTCATTATTTTCACAACTTGACTTTGCATTTAGTTCGTTTTAGGTTTCTGCTATATTTGACATTTTCTATGGCAAGATGAAATGGGCACAAAAGATGAGAGCACACATAGGACCTGACTTTTCATGAACATATTCACTTTAAGAGTTCATATAAAGATTGGATGACTGCCATCAATGAGGTCATTTAGTTAACCGAATTTCAACCCCATTGATATTCTGCCTGTATAATAGAAATAAATGATGGAAGTCTGGTTCTAAAAAATCTGTCTAAATAAAATGTTTAAATAATGCTTTGTTCTAGTTCATATTATACTTTAGTGATTTTAAAGAAGAATTCTGAAGGAAAATAAAATGCCCAAAATGTTTCTGTACAGAAGTTACCCACACAAATGGTACTAAACCATTTGTATGCCGTAAGTTTTATAGATGCAAGTAGCGGGCCTTTTTTAATTAAATTCAAAATACCATGGCAGTTAACTGGTTAATGAAAACTGCTATCCAGAGTAAATCTGGAGAAATAATGAATTTTGGATATCTATTACAGTTACATTATTCAAGATATTCTAAATAAGAGCCATACCCACTGTTTGACATCATTGGTCACCGAAGTCCAGTAGTAATTGGATTCCACTAGAGTGAGAGTTCTGGATATGCCATGATGGGCTCCAGTGTTGTTTTCATGGCATTCTCTTAGGACTTTCTTTTTTTCTTCTTCTGAAATAATAACCAAACGATTTTGTTTTCTGTCTTTTCCAACATAAAACAACTTCTTATCTGGAATAAATGAGACAAAAATATAATTGCAATTTTTAGAGATCTATATAATTTTAAGATAACCATGGCCTTTTTCTTTAAACCATGAGGGTTTAAAAAAAAAATTAAAACCGTTTTATCTCTAAGACAAAATATTTGTAATGATGCTAACATACAATCTGAAAGGCTCTCAGCTGTTAGACTTACTAGATATATATATGAGGAGCACTAGCTTCTATAACTACTTAACTAGCTTAACTATATAGCTTGCTCACCAAAACAAGGAAACTATGGAAGTATGAAATTAACTTTCTATGCGTTACTCAAACTAGAAAAATACTTGCAGACACCTTCTAAAAATGGCATGAATTAGCAACCTATGTACTGATAAGCCACTTCAGGAACAGAATTTGTCATAATACCTCCATTTTTGTAAGTGACCTCCTCTCTTAAAATTTTTTTTGGATTTGAGTAGGAGGTGGGGTTGGTAAAGCCAAAAAGTGGGAGAACATTAATCCTCAAGATAGTTTGCTTTCCTTTGGAGGATACCTGACAAGAATCTAGCAGGGAGAGAACCTTTGCCTCTCCAGTGTAGATGAGGTAACTGTTTGAAATCCATATTACACCATTATGTTACTAATATGATTAGTTAAGCACATGCTCAGTGGAAGAGTCATTACTTGAATTTAAGCAACCTGAGGGCAGAAATCTTACTCTCTTATCAATGTATCTCCAAGCCTAATGACCTGCTCACTAGGAACTCTGTAAACATTTTTTACATAAATGATTAAAAAAATAAATAAATCCTCACTTTAGTCTAAGAAGTATGTCTGTTCTTAAGCTTAAGGGAGTTATGTACACACTGAGAAATGAATAGGTGTTTGTTTATTACTAGAGGCCCGGGGCACAAATTCATGCACCAGTGGGGTCCCTCAGCCTGGCCTGTGGGATCAGGCCAAAACCAGCTCTCTGACATCCCCCGAGGGGTCCCGGGTTTCGAGAGGCCACAATCTAGGCCGAGGGACCACACAGGTTCACGATGGGGGCTGGGAAGGGACATGGGAGGTTGGCCAGCCAGAGAGAGACCACAGGAGGGCTCCAGGGTGTCCGGCCCATCTCACTCAGTCCTGACTGGCTGGACCCCAGCAGCAAGATAACCTACCAGTCGGAGCATCTGCCGCCTGGTTGTCAGTGCATGTCATAGTGAGCAGTTGAGCAGCCTTAGCATATTATACTTTGATTGGATGAATGGATGACCAGACAACTGGACACTTAACATATTAGACTTTAATTATATAGGATCATAGAATTTTCTTGACTTTCTTTGAGGAAAGCCTGGTTCTGTGCCTCTAGCCAAAATTCTCATTAGTAGCACCAACATTCAGTTATCTGGTGACTATACCTCTTATTTCATTCCAAACTTCCCTTCCTCTTTGGAAGAGGGCAAAGAGGCAAAAATTATCATAAACTTTCAATACATATATTCTACTGCCTAATATTTAACCCATTCAGAAATTATTTAATAGCAGTGAAAGGAGGGGACCACAGAAATAAGTATAATAAACAAACAAGTAAACTTTGTCAACATTTTCATATTAAGCATCAAATAAGTTTTTCATTGATGGTAAGTGCTTCAAAAATACACCATTAGAAACCACCTGAGTGGAAAAGCAGGCAAGGTTAATTTAGGTATATGTTATTATTTTTTATCGCAAGGTATCATTTTCTGTCTATAAATTTAAATGCCCTTTTCATGGCTTTCAGTTAACTTCTGTGTGATTTTTATTTTGCTTTTGACTGAGTGTCATCATCTATTCAACTAGTAATTGTTTGTCAACAACCAATTACTACAGAAACTCTCAGGATTCCATATAAAACACATATGGAGAAGCATCCATATTAACTCTACATTCAAGATTTGGGGCCTTAATTTTACCTTTGAAGACAAATTTTTTTGCCGCTCTTCTTATTCCACTTCTCTCACTCGGCAGTGTAGTTGGATGATATTCACCAGTTCGTTTATAATATGCAATTTGTTTAAGATGAAGTTCACCGTTTTTTCCACTACGTACCATAATGAACCTAGGTAAAATATATTTAAAGATATAGTTTAGTCCGGCTGATGTGGCTCAGTGGTTAAGCATCGACCTATGAACCAGAGTCACGATTGGATTCCCAGTCAGGGCAAATGCCTGGGTTACAGGCTTGATCCCCAGTAGGGAGCTTGCAGGAGGCAGCAGATCAAGGATTCTCTCTCATCACTGATGTTTCTATTCTTCTTTTCCTTTCCCTTTTTTCTCTGAGCTCAGTAAAAAATAATTACATATATATGTGTATAAAATATATAATTTAAATAAGCTAGTTCAGTTGCTTTTTCAGTTCAGACTCTGTTACACTTCTGCTTTACATATGAATTGAATATTCACAAAATATTACATGAGAGAGATTACTGTATTGTAGTACAGAAAAGGAACAGTATGATGTATAAGAGCTAAAATATTTAAATATTATTTTTGAGATATATCATGACAAATTATCTTGTCTCTTTCTACATGGTAAGAAATGTTGACAATTTTCCACATACTGGGGGAAAAAGGAAATGAAGAAGTACACTTCAAAGAGTTTTGTTTAAAGTCTCTCAGTACCCATTAATTAAAGTGTTACTTATACAGGATGGTTCTGTTATGAGACATTTAAATAAACAATAGGTTATAAAGAGAGAAATTCAGCTTTATATTACTTCTATATATATTTATGGTCATTGCAAAATGCCAAAAAACAAAACAAACAAACAAAACACACACACACACACACACACACACACACACACACACAAAAAAAACCAAAAAAAAAAACACATAACTCTATTCAAATCATTTATGGGAAAGGTATATTTTGGAAATGTTCATATAATAAAGAAGAAAGGAGATATTTAGTTATTCTAGAGCTCATACACTCTTCTGAACAATACATAGGCTGCTTTTCTTTAATAGAAATTATTTTTTATTTTATGTGTACCTTCTCTATGTTATAAAGAAAAATTTGGTTATATAGGCCAAAATAAAGGAACACTTCTCTATTTTAGTTTTCTTTAAAAAGAAAAAATTTTCTTTCATATTTTCAGTTGAAAGGAATGAGCCTGTGCTGGTTTTGTTTGGCACCACCCCTACCCCACCCAGAATCATTTTCTGCTTTTCTCTCCCTGCTGCTGAGCCCTAGGAGACTGACCTTTACAGGCTGCATTTATAGCTTTCTATCCCACAAAGTCCATTCTGCACAAATAAGACAGATTGGGGTGGGAAACAGAAAGGTCAGTACAGTTAGGGGACAACTGCATAATTTAGGCAAGAAATGATAAAATTCTGAGTCAAAGCAGTATCAGTGGAAATGGACAGATACATTTTATAAGAATCGTGACCGACTGGATTGTGAGTGAATGAAATTAAGAGGCTGGGATCATTTCTGAAGTTCTGGCTTAGGGAGGACAATGACAGTATTGAACATGTTATATTGAGCTCATGGATGACTTAAGCATGTAGATGAAGTTAAGGCAGTGGAAGAAGGATTTCATGGAAAGTGCACCTAAAAAGAAGAACAGTAGACATATCCTTATACCTTTTAACATTCACATTGATGAATACGCTCATCTATGAATCCTTCCTGACCACATCATCCTCTCAAGTAGAATTGTGCACACCTTCCTTGGTGCACCCACAATATGTACACCACTTTCATAAAATCTGCAACACTTTATTCAACTTACTAGTTTATATGTCTCTCTCCAAATACTAGTATGTTGGAAATCCCTCAGCAAGATGAGATTAACCAGAGAAATAGGAAAAAAAGAAACAGAAGAGGTTCTGTCATGGATGTCTAGAAATAAAGAGCTCTTGAACACCAAGTACAGGAGAGGTTGCATAATATCAGAACTAAAATTTGTCTAGTGGTTTTGGTAATAGAGTAGCACAGAGCAGGTGGAAACCAGACTAAGGAGACACTGAAAAAATGTACTTAATAAGTTTAATTTAGTTGTGAAGACAGTTGCTAGAGACAAATATGAGGTTTATTCACTGATCTAAAAAAATATTATTGAGCTCCCGCCACGTGTCGGACCCACACTGGAGATACAATAATAAACAAGACATGTATCCTCTAAACCCTTATGAAGTTTACATTCTATTAGGGTTAAAGGATTGTTCTGGCATCCAAGTTTATAGCAGCATTATTCACAATAGCCAAAAGGTGGCAGCAACCCAAGTTTCCATCACTGGATGAATGGATAAACAAAATGGGATATATGCATACAATGGAATAATTATTCAACCTTAAAAAACAAAGGAAATTCTGGCACATACTAAAACATGGACATTATGGCTAATGTAAAATAAATCAGTAACAAAAACACATACTGTATAAGTCTATATATGAGGTACCTAGAGAAGTTAAATTTATAGAGACAGAAAGTAGAATGGTGTTTGTCTGAGTGTGGGGGTTGGTAGTAAAGGAGAGTTAGAGTTTCAGTTATGCAAGAAAAAAGCATTCAGAAATTGCTCATGAAAAGACGAGTTTTCAATGCAGAAAACTTCATTTTCGTCTATTTTAAGAAACTGCCACAGCCACCCCCAACCTTCAGCAACCACCACCCTAATCAATCAGCAGCCATCAACATCTAGGCAAGACCCTCATCCAACAAAAAGATGACTCAAAGTAGGCTCAGAGGATGATTAGCACTTTTTAGCAATGAAGTATTTTTTAATTAAGGTAAGTACTTTTTTAAGAGAATGTTATTGTTTACTTTATAACAGACTACAATATAGTGTAAACATAACTTTTATATATACTGGGAAAACAAAAACTTTGTGTGATTCGCTATTGTGATGTTCACTTTACCGCAGTGGTCTGGAACTGAACCTGCAGTATCTATGGGGTATATCTGTAGTAATCATGACTGTGTGGTACTGGCAAAATGAGAGCCGTTGGCCTACTGACCAGAATAAAGTGTCAAAAAAAAAAAAAAAAAAAAAAAAAAGCCATACAGAAATTATAAATTGATTTTTGAAAAAAAGCACCAAGGTAATTCAACAGAGAATGAATAATATTCACAAGAAATGTTGCTGGAACAACTAAATATCAATATGAAAAAAAAACATGACCTCAACTCATATCTTGCACCAACTGTAAAAATTAACCCACTATGGGCCATAGACCAAAAGGTAAAATCTGAAATTACAGAACTTCTAGAATAGGGGTGGGGAATGTCCGGCCCGCAAGCTATATTAGACCTACAAAATAATTTGTTCTGGTCCTGCAAAGGCATTAGGGGTGAGTCAATTAAATGTATGACAGGCTAATTTTTAAGCTGATATAACTGGCTAATTTTTAAGCTGATAATTTTGTATGGCCCGGGAATGATGTTATAAATATTCAAATGGTCCCTTGGCATACATAGGCTTCTCCACTCCTGTTCTAGAAGGTAACAAAAAAGAAAATCTTTGTGAGTTTAGGTACACAGATATGGGTGGCAAATAAACACATGAAAAGATACTCAGCACCATTACACAATGAAAAATGCAAATTAAACCACAATAAGATACCAGTACATATCCATCAAAATGGCAAAAACAACAACTAAACAAAACAAACCTAACAATACTAAGTATTACCAAGGACGAGAATTGATAGTAAAGGTTATAAAGTGATTTTATAATAAATAATTTAAATTACAAATAAGGAACAGGTCTTATTAATTCTTAATGCTTACATTGTTTCACAGAGTGTTTGGGACAGAATGATCATTCAACTATTTGTCAATAAGTAAAGTATTACTTGCATTTCCTAATAGAAGAGTTAGCATTGGATTAAAAGAGGCCACATGTTCCAAAGTTCACATTGGGAAAACATTACTTTCCTTGAATGCATGTGGTACTGTTAGTACGGTGTGTCTAAGAAGATAAGGCTTTTAGGAATCAGCATTTTTAGTGAGTGAGTTACCTAAGCCTCAGTATCCACATTTAGAAAAAGGACATAATAGCCAAAACTGGTTTGGCTCAGTGGATAGAGCGTCAGCCTGCGGACTGAAAGATCCCAGGTTCGATTCCGGTCAAGGGCATGTACTTTGGTTGTGGGAACATCCCCAGTGGGGGGTGTGCAAGAGGCAGCTGATCTTTGATTCTCGCTCATCGATGTTCCTAACTCTCTATCCCTCTCTGTAAAAAATCAATAAAATATATTTTTAAAAAAAGAAAAAGGACATAATATTTATCCCACCTTTTTCACAATTACAGGGATCAATGAGATAATGGATTTGAAAAGTCTTTTACAAATGGTAAATCAATATATAAATACTAGAGGCCTGGTGCATGAAATTCGTGCACGGGTAGGGTCCCTAGGCCTGGCGATCAGGGCCAATCTGTGGGGTGACCAGTAGGGCAATCGGGAGGCCCCCACTGGCCCCACTGGCACCTGCCTTAGCTGGCCTGGTACCGCCCAATCACTGACCACAGGTCACCTCCCTCTCCGGGGTTACGGGCTGGGCGATCTGGACACCCCCCTCCCTTGCTGTCTGGCCTGGGGCCTGCGGGCAGCTCCTGTGTTGAGCATCTACCCCTGGTGGTCATTGCGTGTCATAGCGACTGGCGGTTCTGCTGTCCTCAATTTGTATATTAGGCTTTTGTTATACAGGATTGTTTAAATACTTCAGTATTATCATCCATATCAAGCTGTTTAAAGTAAGAGAGAACACTTCTCAAAATCGTTACAAGGAATAAGATTTTAAAATCTCACTCCTTTCTTTAAAGGTTGATTAATGTTTTCTGGCAAAGTATAAGTTTTACTAACAATGAAACCAAGAAAACTCAACAGCTGCATACCCTGGGAAGGGCCACAAGTCCCACCACACTGCTGCTGTGCCGCCTGGGGAAGGCCAATACTCTCCAGCTCCACCGTCCCTGCCAATGTAAGTAATGTTTGTAAAATTCTTACCTAATAAGCAATTAGGACAGTCAAAAAAAGAAGTACTGAATGAAGGTGGCTCATTACAACTTCTAGCTTTGCAAGAGGAAATGGCTGAACTTTTTACACTCTATCCCTTGTACAACATCAAATAAAATTAAAGAATATCTGTGTTAATATTTATTACTTAATTCCTTGAATAAATTTATCTTGTGTGTGCAATAAAGGCAGTGAAGCATCACTTTAAATAAAATCAGGATTTAACTGTTTCACCAAGGGCAAAACCCATCAAGGCCACCAATTTAAAGCCTCTAAAAGTTATACACATATGTTCCAAATTAAGATCTCAAAATTAGTAGTATTTCAGTAAGCATGTTAACTTGTCGATCAGAATTTCACTCCTCGAGTCTCCTATTTTAATTTCTAAAAGTGTAAGAGCACAATTTTAGGTAGCGTCAAGGACTGGGAAATCTAAGTATACCAGACAAGTCCCTGTAATCTGCGCTTCATTTTCAACGCACACATTCGTTTAACAAAAAAAATGTCTTCATCTCCAAACGCATGCAAAGGAAGTCACGTGTGATAAATGCATTTCACTTTGAAAGTTACTTCTCTACTTTTGGTCAGAAACACCCTTTTAAGGAAAACCCATAGAGATAAAAATGGGTGTTTTTCCTTCAACACAACGACACTAGATTCTCCCTTGAGCTAGTGTTTCTCCCCGCACATTGGGGGCAAAAAAAAAAAGGGGGGGGAGGGTAATATTTCAGATTCAATGGCAACTAGGCTTAAAGGAGGGAGAATTTTTCAATGTCAACCAAGTGCAGCACCCAACTTCTGACGCTACTTTAAAGGAGTATTTTCCAGAGCGTTTAGGCGGCTAAGTCTTTAAGGCAAAAAGGTCCGGCTAAGATTCAGCACACACAGAAAAGCGACCATTAAAAGCAAAACCCGGAGTTCCACCGAGCAGGCGCCTTCCCGGGCCCGAAAACGGAAATCGCCCCGTTTCAGTACTGCCCACGGGTCACCGCCAGGCCCCGCCGCCCCAAGGCGCCTGCGCAACATCCCATTAAACCCTTCCCAGGCCAGTCGACGGGAACGGCTTCGAAACTACGGTCAGGTTACGCCTTGCTTTTTAAAAAAAAAAAAAAAAAAAAAATCCATCAGTTGTGACCCAGCACACCGGAACGACCACTCACCGAAGTGGTCCTAAAGGCAAGCGACAGGATTTAAGCTTCCTCTCGCGACTTATCTGGTGCCGCCGGAAGCGGAACTAACCGAGTCGTTAAGAGGGGGGCGGGGCTTACGGGGAGGTGGAGCTCCGGTCCGTGCCGGTTAGGGCGGAACCTTTGGCTCCTGCGGGAAACGGGTTCTGCCCGGCGAGGTGTCCGAGTGAGACCCGAAGCGGGCGCGGAGGAGGCGTGGCGGAGGCTGCCCGGTGTGGCAGTTCCTGGCGCTACCTCCATGTGGCTCTTCGGCTGCTGAGAAGAAAGGAGACCCGCGACCACGCTGACAGCTGGAGCCTGCGGACGGAAACCTCCTCCGCCCTGCCCTCGGGATTAAAAGGGAAACCGAGACCTGGATGCGGTGCGGGCCATCTCCAGCCGCTGGCGTGACGCCCGCAGCCTTGGCAGGTGAGGGTGCCGACACCGAAGGAAAAAAACGAGACGCGGAGCCTGGCCGCCCCAGGTTGGCCGCCGCGCCGCCGGGCAGTTAGTCGCTTTGTCTCCGGCTGAGCTCCGCGGGCGGAGCCGGCGCCACGCGCGCCTCGAGGGGCCGGGGCCGGAGCGGAAGGCGGCGTGGGGGAGTGACAGCACCGCTCTGCGGGTCATTTCGCGTTCCCATTCCTCCTCCTCCTCCTCCTCCTCCTCCATCGCTTCCCTTGTCAATTTCTTGCGTTTGGGATCCCAGAGGTGTCAGCGGAGCGGGGAGCCGCCGAGCGCTTCTCGCGGGGGCTCCCGGCTGCTGGTCTGGCTCCACCAAAGGAGGCGGGCTCGAGTTTGGGGACTACATGTGCGTAGAAATGGCTATTTTATTTTATTTTATTTTATTTTTCCCGCCTCTATCCCCTGCCCATCCCCGCCTCCACCCTCGTTTCAGTGCGTGGCAGCTTCCCGGAGCCAGGACCCGTGACCGCGCCGAGTCCGTTGGGGAGCGGGGTGCATCCTTGGGCGCATGGAGGAGGCAGGAGCGCGGGGTGACCCTTGGATCCCTGTCCCCGGGCTCTCGGCGCCTCTCCCGGAGGAGCTGCGACCTTTGGAGCCTGTGGGTAGCACCTGCCTGGCGCGCTGGAAGGCTCCCCTGGAGGTCAGGAGCCAGGCTGCCGAGTCCAGCACCTACCACTGCTGCTCTCCACGCTGCGGATAGGCTTTTGTTTTACTATTGAAAAAATTCTGCAATGAAAAATAAAGTTTTTGTTTCGGGCAGATAAAACAATAAGGATAGCTGACCTGAGCCGTGTGCCACGTGCTTTTTACATGTTTTCTCCTACGCCCCTCAACAATTCCAGAAGGCAGGTTATTATCCTCATTTTTGCAGAAGAGGAAACTGAGGCTGGGTGAGGTCGCATCACTGGCCCTAATACACTACTGCTGCTGTTAAACAGTGGAACCTGCATGGAAAACCAGGTTTTTTGCAGACTCCAGCCTCTGCATGCTTCCTTATTGCAGCTACTATTGTCCTGCCTATAGGCTTCATCGCTTCCGGTTTCTTGACTAACATTTGCAATGGCTGAAAGCATTCATTTAAAAAAAAAATTTTTTTTTTTTGAGTGTCTAACAAAAGACAGATATGATCTCTTGTCTTTATGGAGCATCAGTATTGTGATGCAGAATTCAGTACTTCAGAAACCAAAATACTGAACTTACTGTAGCATGGGCTTGTTTAAAGCAAGGGATTAAAGCAAAGGTTTTCAGCCAGTGTGCCACAAGAATTTTTAAAACATGCAATAGTTTGTTTTAAAATAAACTCTTTAGTCAGGTGCACTGACCGCTTTTCCCTTAGATTGCCACATTAAAAAAAAAAAAAAATGACAAGAGCCAACACAACAATAGATACCCACCCAGTGTGCGTGAATCAAAATTATACCTGTTTTTTGTCAGATCAGCAAAAATTGTAACATTTTTTGATGTCCTGCAAAATCTTAGTAATTAGTTTGTGTGCCATGAGATGAAAAAATGGTATGTATTCTGTGCTAGCTAAGTTAAGGTCAGAATCTCTGCCATCATTATAACAACTATATATGAACAGCTAATATTTACTTTATGTTTACCATATCCTAATTGCTATGGTTGTCTGCATTGTCATTTAATCATCAAAATAATCTCAGATTTATCACCCCATTTTACTGGAATTAGCTATTTGGGAATAGAACTTTTGGAGTTATGCTTTGCAATTCTATCTAGCATAGTGTTCAGCTCTTAAGAATATTTGATCAAGTAGGTTCTTATAGTACCAGTAATCAAATGAAATATTTGATATGTAATTTCATCCTGATAGGTAATTAATTTTAATATGACCAAGAGACAAGTACATGTAAACAGCCTTGAGATATATCACTGTGTGTGTAGTTCTTAAACTGATATTCCTGGGCATGTTTATGTGGAGGAGTTTGGATGGGAATTCATCACATACAGTTGCATGAAAGATTTAGTGCACATGCACTTTTTTCCCTAAGAGAATCCATAAATTATATCAGATTTGCCAGTTTTTTTACTTCTGAAGGTTTAAGGGCTGATAGGATCAAATACTTTTTTCACTCTAATCTTGTTTTGGTGATTTATATGAGACCAGAATGCAGAATAGTTATATTCTCTAAAAATATGCATACATTTTGTGTGTGTGGTTTTTTTTTGTGTGTGTGTGTGTGTTGTTTTGTGTGTATGTGTGTTTTTTGTGTGTTTTTTTCAAAATGTACTTTTACAAATTGGGGCCTTTTACATTTTGATTCAGCTTCCTCAGTGCAGTAGGCAACATTAGCTCACTCTGTCTCTGCTCTCTTAACAGGGAAAAGCAGACGACAAGAGACTGAACTGCAAGTGTATCTGCCTCTATTTCCAACAGACTCATGTTCCACTTGCACACACTCACAAAAGCTGGGAAAATTTTATTCATCCTTTTAAAGGAAAAGTTAATATAAAATTAGAACAAACCAAAAAAAAAAAGGGAACCTGATAGTTTTAGTAATAACAGCTGGAACCATCCTCAGCAGCAGTGGGAGAAGAGATTTAATTTAGTTGATTTTCTGTGGTTATTGATTGTTCGCTAGTCTCACAGTGAAGGAGCTGCATATTTTTTAAAAGGGACTGAGAAGCTACTGGAGGTTTGGTTCTCCAGGCAGCAACCTGACACAAATCAAGCATCTGGGAATCTTCGCACCATCCCAAGATCTAGTAGCACCTACTTTTGAAGGATGTGCACTGTCCGATTATAAGTGTGCTTATGTAGAGTAACATGTTTGTCTCTGAGAGACATTTCATTTTGAAGATATGTGGTATCATCCTCTTGCTGAAAGCACTAGTTCCCCTGTTGAAACTTACACGGGATCACAGTGGGTTGGACGCAATTTGAAGTTGCTTTTGTTCTGGTAAGAATTTCATGAAGCCTTCTCACCAAGGGTGCTGACACTGGAATTTCTGGGGGGAAAACAGCTTCTTATTACAGTTTTCCTAAGTGGAGCAGCACATTGTATGGGATGTATGACTTCTGACTGTTGTATACTTTGGATTTCCAGGAGAGAAGGGAATTAGCCAGATTACGGTAGACCTTGAAAATTCTGATGAGTGAGCTTGTCCCAGCAGTTAATGGACCAGTTCTACTGTACATTAAAGATGGTGTTACTGCACAGGATGCCATCCGTTAGAATGTAATTTGTGACCTGATACCAGGTTCTGTCATTGATGCCACAGTGTTTAATCCTTGTGGACATTCAATGAATGGCATGGAATCGGATATGGAACTTATTGGACTACGCACATTATTCTAGAACCAGAATTTTCTTATGTTAGCTTTGAAACAAACTTAAGTCGGGCCTGCTATGATGACCTGATCAGGAAGTCTTCAAACCAGGAAAGTTTGTGACCATCTTATTTATGAACCAGAGTTCTAAGTGGCACACAGATTGAAAGTTTTAAATGTCTTAATTGTCAGAATGCTACCTTCAGTGATTACAACCTTGTTTTTTACCAGTTTTGCTAAGAAAAAGTAACAACAGCAGAGTGAAGAAAAACGAGGAAAAAATGCAAAAAGAGAACACACATAGAAGAAGGTGGTGCTGCTCTTGTAGATATTGATATGGGAGGCCATGCTTTCCATAGCCACCACCTTGTAGTTGCAGAAAGCCCTAGACTCAGTGATAGTGTAATCGTTTTGAATTGAATACTTTCTTATATCAAGGAATTCGATATTTTGCATGAATGTTCTCTCCTGTGTTTAAGTATCCTATGCCACCCTTGCTGTGAAATTGAAGTGCATGTAGAAAAAAACTTTTACTATATTAAACTTTATAACACTTGTGATAATTCAGTTTGGTTTATGCACAACGTAAGATTTCTCCAAGTATAATCCAAAATTCCCCGAACACATGGCTTTCATCCCCCTTAGTTGTTGGCCTCAGCCTAATCGTTTAGGACTATTCTATTAAATCGCTACCAGGATATTATGTCCAATTACCTCCAAATTCTAGAACATATTCTCTACTGATGTTGCTGAAACCAAATTCTACTTCATACAGATATGTTTTGTTTCGTTTTGTTTTTTTGCAACAGCAATTAAAGGTTTTCTTCCACAAGTTGAGTCCTCTTAAGAAAGTGATTGCAGTTATCCATTTTGTGTATTATTATTTTAACATCATTGCTTCCTGCACTTGTATTCCTTTACTGGATTTAATTTCCCACCATGTTGACTCCCCTTTCAGCCCTACCCCAATAAAGTGATATAGTGTTTTAAAAAGAATTGATTTAAAGTAATTTCAGACTGATGGTCAGTGTTTATTAAACCCCATTACCTTTTATCTGTTGTTTTTCATTCAGATATTACCGAACTATATGCAGAGGAATTTAGCTTTTAATTAATTTTGTTACAATTTTAATATTTTTTTCCTAATTTGTTAATTTTGCACTTAAAGATTTTAGTGTTTAGTCTTTTTGTTATTTTGTATCAGTCTGTCCAGTTACAAAGCTGTATATTGAAGATCTGAGTCTTAATTTCTTAATTTTATGGAAGAAAATATCTTTTCAAGTTATTGATACAGATTTTATAAGCGTTATTTAAAATTATTTTT